GTGTGTTTCAATGAGTTGGATAGCTTTAAGCAAGTTAATTTTGTAATTATTCATATTATATATGAACTTCAAGTATAAACAAACATTACCAGAACTGACAAAAATATAGATCATACACATATGCTGAGAAAATGAGCTATGAAATGTCAAAAAATATACTGTTCATTTATTAAAGTTTCTTTAATAACCACTTAAAGATGGAAGTATCATTTGTTTAAATAATTTATAATACATAATTATTACCTTTGACTTTTCCACAGACTTTCCATCCTCTAATTTCCGTTTCTTAAGTTTTTTCTGTTCATTTATTAAAGTTTCTTTAATAACCACTTAAAGATGGAAGTATCATTTGTTTAAATAATTTATAATACATAATTATTACCTTTGACTTTTCCACAGACTTTCCATCCTCTAATTTCCGTTTCTTAAGTTTTTTCTTCTCTTTTTCAGGCTTTCCAAATGTTTCTGCTTGTAAATTCTGTAATACATAAGACATGTGTAAAAACCCAGTATAAATTGTGCAATTCTTACCAACGTGGTCTCCAAAATTTTAAAACCACTGTTATAAGAAATTAGCAGCAATTTCTATTAAAGTATTTCATCACGTTCACTGAAAAACTTTACAAGTTTGTAGTCAATACTAATATATATACTACAAAACTTAATATTTTAAAACGTTCCAGGTAAAAATGAGTCTCTATTCTTGGCAAATGAGCATTTGGATTGAGAAACCAAAACCAAAACCTTGAAGAAATAAAAATATTGTCTGTAAGAACACCAATTTTATCATTCTTTTTTTTTATGGAACAGAAAACTGTATAGTATCTCTGTAGAAAGGATCCCAATTGATATTTTGTTTATATTATTATTATTATATATTGAATTCACATATTTTAAATTCATAGTAAACAAAAACATGCTGCTCTTGATTAGTACAGATATGATGTAAATGACAACAATATTAAACAAGCACTATATTCAAGTTCTACATACCCTTTTCAAATTAGGGGAACATAAAAGGTAAAATATACATTAAGGCTTTATATAATACATAGCTTATTTACTTATAACCCTAAAAAAATAAGTGAGAAATTTGTGTAATAAATGAATTAAAAAACCAACTATTTTCCAAAATTATATGACAAACATTTTTCAAACCTATGAATATAAAAGAATTTAGCAAAAACAAACAAACCAGGCCTATTAAGTAATTTCACATAAGGAAAGTTCACCCCTACATATTTTTCAGTATTAAGTTGTTTTTTAATAATAAATGTGCATTATCAAAACACCCACACATCCAATGTGTTTGACAAGAGAAACAAAACCAAAAGCTTTCATATGTGGTGTTAGTTTCTAAACCCACTAACATTTGACAGTAAGTAGATACCTCAACATCTGAAAAAAATCCTAGTCCCAGAGGATCACGTGCTGGTTTAGTCGCTTGTAGTATCCTCCAAATATGTTGAGTTTCATCAAGAGACACCTCCAGCAGGTCTCCTTCCATCATCAATTCCTCTAGCTGATACTTAGCATCCTCAGACAGTTCTAAGACAGGAACTTCCAACTGCCGAGGTACCAGTGGAGACTTTCTGGCATGCTTACGTGGTGTAGAACCTTAAATTAATAAATATAAACCTTTCTTCAAAGTATCTCATTTTAATTATTTGAATAGGTAAATCAAAATAAACTATAATTGACATTTTTTTCTAAAATTAACTCATTTCATGTGAGTACTGGCCAATCAGTCTTTCTGAATACCACTAAGATGCCAAAGAAGAAATGATTGTGGAAATACAAGAGAACGTTTTAATAATAAAAATATTATTCTTTGATGGATTGTTTAAGGCAGAGTATTCAGGGTGAAATTTGTCTGAATGGATGGCAACTGCCTGTTGTAGAAATGCAAGTATAGAGGATGATATTTCAAGTCTTCTGCCTTTCGTCTTCGTCAGTACGTGTGTATGGTGTTGTCAGTTTTTATAGAATTCTGGCGGATTGTGGAGGATCTGTTATGATTGGCTGGTTTATGCCTGTTTCTGATTGGTGGAGAGATTTCCTGTAGATTCACCCAATGGTAGTCACAGGCTAGTCACCTCATAATCTGGAATCTCTGTTTAGTGATTAACCTGTGGCTATATAAATATATGTAGAAAAATGTGTTACACTATTGGTTATCACAGTCGTATCTAAAACTAAATAATTATCTTTTCTTGTTAAAAATTTGTACAGGCTATTTCAGTTACTTTAGAAACCAACTGACAAGACAGATTATTTTTCTCTACTGTTTCTCACTATATAATCTGTGATAAATTCACTTACGTTACCCAGTAGGTTACCACAATTGTATCCAGAACTTTAAATAATTGTCTCCTTTTCATCAAAGTCCACACAGATGGGTTCAATGACTTTAGAACACCCTTTAACAAGACAAACTGTTTTCCTTATCTCTTGTTAAACTGTGAAACTCTTGTCAGATATGGCCCATTATGGCTAAACTGACAATTACGCAGTCTAACTTCATTTTCACTAACTTAACATTATCTGACTTAACTTGCTGTATCCATGAATATTTATAAAACATGACAGAAAAATATAGAACTCTCTTGCCCTCTAGTAGCAACAATATTATACATAATTAAAAAACCTGGAAGCTTCAAGTAAGATGACATCAACAATATTACTAAAGCCTAGTACAACAATTAAAACTTCAAACACAATGTACCACTCTTACCAAGTTATGTAACAAAACTTATCACACATCTATCACTTTTAAAATAATTAACTTTTAACATTCTTGTTATGAAAACTAAATAATTATTAAATATTAAATCACTAAACAGTCTTGTATATCAAAAACAGGGATAAACCAACCAATCATAACACTTCTCCACAATGCAGTACAATACTATAAAGACTGACAATACCATACACACACTGACGAAAGGTGAAGACTTCCGAATCATCGTCCTCTATACATATGTTTCTACAACAGACAGTTGCAGTCTATTCATCCAAATTTCATCAAAAATATTATGATTTGTTTTTTTTAAATAATTACAATTTCTCTACCATTCTTCCTAAATCACCACTATAATCAAGGAATAACTTTAATGCCAAGATTGGAACAATCAAGTTCTTTATGCTGCTGCTGACTGTTGTAAATACTAAAAAAAAGTAAAGGTTCATTTTTAGTCACTCCATCTATATATTACTTTGTAAATTAATCTTGAATTTGGCTTTTAAAACTAAGTATGTAAATTGTTATTGCTCAACCAAATTTAGAAATTTATTAAAAGTCTGGATTTTTCTGACACATTTTTAAAAAATTAATATTTGGTAATTTTTCAACCTAAATAGTGCTACGTATGACATACACTCAGGCTAAATGCCCAGATAAGATGCCAACTTACAGGTATATCCTTCCCTAATTAAGGAATGGTCTAAATTTCTTTTGCATCAATTTGTATTTTTTAAAGGATTTTTAAATAGTGAAATGGGATATTTTGTGTTGTTCAATACTTCTGAATTTTATATATTTTAGTTAGATGAGACCAAGATATATTTGAGATTATTATATTTAAAACTGTAAAAGGACCAGTCAATATTTTTGTTTACATTTTACACCTGTATTTTGTTACAAGTCAGAAGGAAAATTAGTTAAATGGGTAGAGATAGCAAAAAACAAAAACACATGTGATCAAATGTTATACTCACCCAAAACAGTAAATTATATTTCTAAAACTATTCTGAAGTTTCTACTTGGCAATGAAGTTTGTCTAATAGGCTTGTAAATAGATTAAACTTTCTTTATGTTATTTTACCAATGATCAAGCTGCCTACATAGTGATATGGTATTCCACTGTAATTACAGGTTTCACATGTCAAACTGTGAGAAGTGTCATTAAATTGTGACAAAACTAATAGCTATAGGTGTATTTTTACCATTATTAACTGTTGCTATTAATGTTGTTGCTTTTACAATCAATGAAAACAATTTTTTTCACATTCTTATATATTTTGATTTTTTTTTCAGAAACAGAAGAATCACAGTATTATATCTAAAATTTCTAAGTTTTTTTTAGAAGTAAAACTCTTACAAGAAAGGAACTTTCAGTTGTTTGACAAGAGTAATTCTCACCTGTGGATCCTTTAGAAGCAGAAGAGTAAGCATGTTCTAAGTTGTTATATGGTGAGGCATTATCTTCTTGAAGTCTGCTGCCTTTTTCTTCAGTTTGTTGGTCACATTCTGTGGTTACTTGGATCTCCATAGTGTCAACAAGTTCATTCTGAGACAAAAAAAATCTCTTAATCAACACAATAAAAAAAAAGAATTGTTATACACAAAATTGGATATTAATTTAAGAATAAACTAAAGAACATTCTGATAAACCAGTGAAATGAATTACAAATAATATAATATATTAGATTAATAACAAGTTCTCATTTAAGGCAGTGGATGTTTTAGGTCACATTTGAGTATACACTCACAACTCAACTTTCAAAATTTAGTTTAAAACTACAATTATATTTCAATTCCAATAATTATTTACTTAAAAATATTACAGGACTGATATTCATTTATCTGAAAGGATATATGAAACTAATACTATTCATAATAGAAGAGCTGGAGGTACGAAAGCCCAAGCTATTCAGAAGTGACGTTAAGTAATATAGGTTGTATTCTTTACTTGATATACAACAGTCTAGTAAATATCTTGCCAATGGTGTAGCTATAAGTACAAGTGTGAATGTTACCTTCAAAATAGTAAGATAAAAATTGACACGAAGTGGTCTCAGTGGGTATACAGCTACTCAAAAATCACTGATAACCAAATCAAATGGCCGAAATAGGCATCACACTTCAAATAATATGATGGAAAAAGATTGAGGGTGCTGTTTGTAGATGGAGACAAATTCAGATTGTTTGAAAACAATCACAAGTTTGTTTAATGGCAGAGAGGAAAACAGTACCATGATCAATGTGCAATGTCCACAGCGAAACATTTTGTAGGACCAATACAAGTGTGAGCTGCATCTCAGTCACTGGTGTTGAAGATCTACGAGAAACTGATGGCACCCTGACTGCCGATAGATATTGTAAGATTCTTATCCTTCACGCCATTCTTTCAAAAATTAGACCAGTTGGTCAGGTATTCATCTTCCAGCAAGAAAATCATCCTAAGCATGCAGCAAATATTATGAAACAAAAACAGAATGGAAAAAAAAAAAATCAAACAACCCCAACTCTGGCAGTATGGTCTCATATGAAAATTGAGAAGGTCAAATGGCAACCAAATAACTGGGCTTAGGCAAGATTTGGAGCAATCAGTATTTCACAATCATTCATTGAAAAACTTATGGCAGCATAAAAACATGTACTGCTTTGTTTGAAGTAAATAAAAACACTTACTGCTTTGTTTAACTCTCTCAATACGGACTCAGTCAATCTGACTGCCCATGTGACCTTTTTTGTACTCATTTAAAGTCTTTATAGATTTAATACTTATAACTCTCAATATAGTGTGTATATCTTCACAAAATTTGGTAGTCTTTCAGTTAACATTACATTTTTTTTTAGTGAAGTATTTTATATAAACTAAAATAAAGATTTGAGTATTTGTTTTAAATAGTCCTTGTGCAAAGTAATTTTCATGTTAAAATTAAAAATCCTTTTCCTCACCTCAAAAATCTAAAATTTCCTTTGTGTAATCCCTAAAACCTCCTAAATGCACTTCAAACATTTCTTTTCAGTAAAACTTCATATTTTATCTGTTATTTTCTCTACCTAACTCTAAATGAGGTTGGTCAATTTAACCGACCTCGTAACCACCAAAAAAAATTGAAATAAATCTAAGTTCCCCTTTTTTCTTTCTAGTATGCCTTCAAATTGTAACATGAAACTACATTTGTTTATCCTATGTAACTTTAAACTCTTAACAGTATACATCTATTTATAATTAAATTTTATGGTTATATTTCCCTTTGAACTATGTCTAACTACTATTCACACCCTTAAGTTGTAAATCACTTTAGAAATGTGGAGCTACGTTACGCTATCAAATTACCTTACCCAAGAGCTACTAGCGTGTGTGCCTCATGAAACATTTTTGTTATATTATTATTTATTTTACTTAATCTAACCTTAACTGACCTAAAGAGATCCCTATTTTTACATTTCGGGTTACTATTATAATAATAAATAAAGAATAAACATGAAAAACAAGAAATAAAGTACTTACTCAAGTATTTTTTTTTTTGCTGTTGACTGTCGATGACACTTAACCCTACTTTTTTTTTTATACTAATAGTAGTAGTGCATTAAATAATTTTTATTTAATTAAATAATGCACTAAAGAACAAATAATATGCAAACAGCGGAGAATTTCCTCTAACAATAACAATTTTTCTGGCTTTGTAACTATGCAACAAGAGCCGTTACAAATTCATTCAAGCTAGTCCTTGTTTTTCCCGTGGGAATGAAGCTTGTATTACAAGTAAAATTGACGATTACCTGTTCAGAATACAACATAATACAATACATCATTTGATAGATGAAAACCTTGGCTTTCTATTGGTTATAGATGATATATAATTAAACGTAAGAGTGAACTATTAACAATCCTAAAAGAGAGGATGTGAGAGGTGGGTGTGGCAGGAGGGGTCTGATTTTCTATTCCATAGCTCTGTAACCAAATAAAATTGAAGACTATAAAAAGTGTGGTTTGTCTGAGTAATAATGATTTTATAGAGTAATTTATGTTTAATTCTGTACTTTTTGGAGGGATGGTGGATAAAATATGGATGATGACATGCTAAGACAAAATATGTCACATGGGTAGCACTAGTAGAAGTTCATGATTTTTTAAAATATTGCCTTGTAGAATTAAGAACTTAAAACTTGTATACTATTAAAATATGGATTATTAGCTAAGATTAGTTTATGCTAATCTAATTGGTATAACATAAACATTAGTAGTTTAATAAAATTTTGAACGTAAGACACTAAAACCTTGTGTCATGCGCAGTAAAGGGAACCCAGGGCAATAGGATTAAGTAGTTACAAGTTCTGATGCTTTTAGAAAGTACACCTATGTTTCAGTGACTTACTTGATGAACCACTTGTTCAGTTGCTACAGGCATAACCTCTTCCATGCTTGATGAAAGCATGACTCCTGGTGGTGATAAGACACAACCTTCAAGTTTAGCTTCACTACCTATCAAAGGAACATCAAAATACAGCTGTCATACATGAAAGGAAGTACAAAGATCAGTTCTCATTCTTTAATATTTTAAAATTGAAATCTCATGTCTGAACAAATATAAGTTTGTGTTTGTACATGTATTATATTTAACTGATTAGTTACTCTTTACAGAAAAAAAAACCTAAAACTTGCTTAGATGAATTTCTTTTTGGTTTGAAAATAATTCCATCTTAACAGCCTCATAAACAAGTGAAATTAATTATGAACAGTTTCTCAAAATTTTTCAAAAACAAAGTATGGAAATTTTAGGACAGCAAATGCTAAAAAACAAAAAGTAATCTTGCTACTAAATTATGTTATTTTACAAATTTTATTTAAGTTTTTGAGAATGAACAGTTATAATGCAAATATTTTTAACTCATGAAATACACATGATGAAAGCCTGAAACATTAATTTACTGAAGTTAGATCTCACTTACTTGGGTAATGGATTCTTTATTCACTAAGATTACTCATAATATAGATCTAAGGTAAAAAAACAAAAAGAGTACAAAATGGTCTTAATATCTTACAAAACATACCTAGATCACCAAGATGGTGGTTATGACTTAAACTCTGAATTCCACCAAATGCTGACTGAGCAACACTACTCAGATGAGAATGTAATTCAGGTTTATTTGCAGCTCGCATCAACTCCGAGTTGATGATCTTCTCCGTCTTCTCCCGAGCTGCCTGTTCCACCATTTTCTGAGACAAAACTGATAGTTTGGCCAGAGCTGCTGCCAACTCATCTGTGGCAAGAGCATGTCTAGCACGGTCCTGAAGTATAAAAAATTCTAATATAATATTTACTTGCAAATTAGTTATAGAATAATTATAAATTAAAGTTCTTATCAACCTTATTTGTTTAAGTCCAAAACCACACGATTTAACATTATTGTTATCTGAAATCTACAGTGCCTTCTGAGCCCTTTTTTTATTCATCACTGCCTCTATGTTTTATCATAGTAATAATGTATTGATAAGAGGGGCAATTTGGAGCAATGATGTGTCACATGATAGTCAAAAGTAAAGATTGAGAATTGATTTAAAAATTTGTTTTTGAAATTGAGATATTAAGACATATATTAAAATTTGCATGATAACCTATGCTTTGATTCCAAGTTAAAATTTTGAATGTAACTTTCTAAAAGATCCTGACATGCACACTTATAGTTTGAAAGCACCAAGCTCACACACAGAGAATTAATATTTCAGTTACAGTTCACCAACAACCATTATTTTAGATAACTTATGCACTATTCCATTCAACAAAAAATCCTCAAAGCTTATTTAAATATAAACTTAAATTATGAACCAAATATGAGCTACATGCAGCAGGTAATATCAGAAAAATACGAATCTTAGTATAAAACAGAAGAAAATTTCAAATAAGAGTATTTTAGAAGCTATCTCACCTGCCAAGACATTGCTCTTTCTGTGAGACACTGAAGAGCCTCACCTTCAGCCAATCTAACCGGAAGCTTCTGCAGGGACATTAAAAGTGAGAGGATGGTTTCTAACCTTGGCCTCCGTGATCGGAAGCACATGGGACATAAAAATTTGGAGTCAAGTGCAACATGAACTGCTGCTACAGATGAGAGATTATGCTGCTTCTTTGTATGTGCTGATTTTGGTAGAGGAACACAAGTAGCTAATGAGGAAAAAAAATGAAGTTGTTGTAAATAAATAAACATGAGATAAACTATATGATGCTATCAAACATATGGTTTTTAACAGAAATTACTTAACATAATGCAGAGATTATCTTCCTGAAGAATGTGCTTGAATAATGTGAAAATAAAAATCTACAGCACCTTGCAAAAGTATTCACCCTCTTGCAAAATTTCCACATTTTGTTGTTGTCTGAGCTTGCAATCATAAAACTTTCAAATGGGACTTTATATTTAAAATATGCACAATCGACTCCAAAATGAGAAAGCTAAAAAACCACTGATATTATGTAAGTAAGTTAGATTTTCAAAGAAAATTAGAATATTCTCAATTGCAAAAGTATTCAATCCTTTTGCTACAGCAACTCTAAATCAGTTCAGGTGCAAAAGATATGTTTGGAAGGTACATAAAATTAGTGTAATGGTTTACTGTTTAATTTGTAATACTAGAATGGTTTAACTTAGTACTTCTAGAATAAATA